GGTATATATATGTATATATACAGCTCAATAATACTTAATACTTATGATTTAATAACCTTAAACAGTCCGCATTAACACCCCTGGTTTCCCTGTAGGGGAACACTTTAACTCCCCCCACCACAGTATGATATTCACCATCTCAAAGTGACTCTCATAGCCAGTAACTTCCGCTCTACTGAACACAGACAACGAGAAGAACTAAAATGGATTACATATTATTGTTGGTATTTTCACTCTAGCTTATACCTGTCTCTTATACACATACATACATACATACATACATACATACATACATACATACATACATACATACATACATACATACATACATACATACATATACATATACATACTAGCAACGTACAGTGCTCGATACACGTTATAATGCAGAGCGTAATATTGAAAATGTAGAACTGGGTATAATCACTCTACAGACTGTTTCATGCTAATGCAATCATCAGGAGTGAGAGAATACAAGGATTGTGTAAGTATATGAATTCTAAGGCAGGTGAAAATGCAAATGAGTTAATTGTCTTTAAGTAAGTATTTGTTGTTGTGCCTGCATTTTGACAATAGCTCGGTTCTTTTCTTTAGTATTGACTGTTTGTCTGAATATATTATGTGAAGTTTTTCGATTATGCATAGGTTGCAGCGTTTTGTTTTTGGGGAGTAAGCCGATGCTCTGTCGATAATAGACCATTTGATATTTGATTTGATTTGATTTGTATTGTATTTGTTATTGTTAAGATGAAGTCAATAATAGTGGTTATATATATATATATATATAAACCACTATTATTGACTTCATCTTAACACATAACAATTTGATGTTTAATAATCAGCACTTTTTACAAACACAAGGTACAACCATGGGCACTAAAATGGCCCCTAGTTACGCCAACATATTTATGCCCGAACTTGAACACAAACTAATTTCTACCTTTGATCTCAAACCTTTGCATTTTTATAGATACATTGACGATGTTTTTTTTTTTTCATTTGGCCTCACGGTTTTGACAACCTTACAAAATTCATCACTCACTGTAACAACTTTCACTCCACTATCAAATTTACTATGGAACACTCTAACCCTTCTATCCCTTTCTTGATGTTAATGTTTCCATTTCAGGCAACAGTATCTCCACATCTCTCTATTCTAAACCCACCGATAATCACATATATCTTCCATAGCTCACATCCTAACAAACTTAAACAATCTATTGTTTACAGCCAAATGCTTCGCTGTAAACGAATTTGCTCTGATCCTACCGACTACCGTACTAACGTCACCAAACTTACTGACCACTTTCTTAATAACGGCTATCCCCTCAAACTTATAAAATCATGTATCATGAAGGCTAACACTCATACCCGCTCTGACCTTCTCACTTACAAACCTAAAATTAATACTGCACGCATCCCCATGATCTTTGATTTCAATCCTAACACTCACAAACTATCTAAAATATTAAAACATGATTATGCCCTCCTTCAAAATGACACCACTACCCAGCCCCTGTTCTCGTATCCCCCACTCCTTGTACTAGACAGCCACCTAACCTTAAATCCATTCTTGCACCATCTAAACTTCGTACACCCAGCACTCATAACGGTAACACCACATGTAATAAAGCTCGCTGCCAGGTCTGTAGCCATATTAACACAAACAGCTCAATAATACTTAACACATCTGAATAAACTGTCCCCCCCTCCTAACCTCTAAATTGTGATATAACTCCCACCAACACAATATTCACCATCTCAAAGTGACTCTCAAAGCCAGTAACTTCCGCTCTACTGACTCAGACAACGTGAAGAACTAAAATGGATTTTAAAACTCAAAACACACACTCACGGCCTCAATAAAGACTTGGGATTCATCAGTGAATTTTCCTTCTGCCGCTAAATATTCTTCTCTTAGTTTTCGGTCACTTTTAATTATAATTTTATTACTATTTATTCTGGTTTTATTATTATTATTATTATTCTGTTAGGCCTATTCATTATATATTATTGTTGGTATTTTCACTCTAGCTTATACTGTAGAACTTATCTGTTGATGGTTTGTTTGAATAAATTATGTGAAATTTTTCTGTAAGACAGAGATTGCAACGTCTTGTTCGTGTACTGTATGGTGTAGTTTTGTCAATTATGGACCATATAATGTTGAATTAGATGTTGTTTCTTTAATTTTCCATACATGTTTTGAAGATTGTTACTGCATGAAACAGCTGAATTCACGCTAGACATAACCTTTCTATTAATATATATATATATATATATATATATCATCT